GAAGAATCCATAGCTACCCTGATGCTCAGTGGTGAGAGACAGAGAACTTCTCCTCTAAGATTAGCATAAGCAAACAAGACAAGGAGGTTTGCTTATTTTTTACTTCTGTTCAACATAATGTTGGTTCCAACCAAAGTAATTAGGCAAGAAAAAGAAATAAGGCATCCAAGTTAGAAATAAAGAAATAAAATGATCTTTACTTTAAAATGACATGACCTTATATGTAGAAAACCCTAACTATTCCACACAGGAACCATTAGAAGTAATAAACAATTCAGCAAAGTAACAACACTCAAAAATCAGTTGCATTTTTATACATTAACAAAATCTGAAAAAGGCAATTAAGAAATCAATTCCATTTACAATAGCATCAAAAAGAATAAACTATATAGAAATTAACTTAACCAAGAAGATGAAACACTTGTACACTGAAAACTATAAAACATTGCTGAAAGAAATTAAAGAAGACATAAATAAATGGGAGATAATTTCAATATGTAATAGTACTCAAAGCGATCTACAGAGTCGAAGCATTTCCTATCAAATTCCCAAAGATGTTCTTTGCAGAAACAGAAAATTTATCCTAAAAATCATATGGACTTTCAAAGGACCCCAAATAGCCAAAATAATTTGAAGATTAAAAACAAGTTTATTAAACTCATACTTCCTGATTTCAAAATTTACTACAAAACTACAATAATTTTAAAGTGTCTTACTGGCATAAAGGCAGACATACAGGCCAGTGTAACAAAACAGAGATCCCAGGAATAAAATTTTGCATATATGGTCAAGTGATTTTTGACAAAGGTGCCAAGACCATTCAATGGGGAAAGGACAGTCTTTTCAAATAAATGGCGCTGGGAAAACTGGATGTCCACACACAAAAGAATGAAATTGGACCCTTGCTTAATGCCATATATAAAAACTAACTCAAAATGGATATATAGCTAACATAAGAGCTAAAACTATAAAACCATTAAAAGAAAACATAAAGGGAAACTTTCATGACATTGGGTTTGGCATTGATTTCTTGGCTATGACATCAAGAGCACTGCCAACAAAAGCAAAAGTAGTAAATTGTACTTTATCAAAAGTTAAACTTTTTTGCATCAAAGGATTCTATGAACAGAGTAAAAAGGTAACCCACAAAATGGGAGAAAATATTTACAAGTCACATATCTGAAAAGAGATTAACATCTAGAATATGTAGAAATTTCCAAAAACTCAGCAACAGCAGCAACAATAAAACCCAATATATCCAGCTCAAATATGGGCAAAGGCATGTCTCAAAACAGCTATACAAATGGCCAATAAGTACATGAAAAGAGCAACAGCACTGATTAGTATGGAAATGCCAATCAAAATAACACCCAGTAGGATGGCTATTGTTAAAAAGCAGGAAACAAGTGTTAGTCTGGATGTAAAGAAGTTGGAATCTTTGTGCAATGCTGGTGGGAACCTAAAAGCGTACTGCTGCTGTGGAAAACAGCACGGCAGGTCCTCAAAATCTTAAACATAGAATTGATCCCGTAATTCCACTCCTGAGTATATTACCCCAAACAATTGCAAGCAGAAACCCAAACAGGTATTTTCAGACAAATGTTCATAGAAGCATCATTTACAATAGCCAAAGGTGGAAGCAACCCAAATATTTATGAATAGATGAAGGGATAAATAAAATGTAGTATATACGTACATTGGAGTCATACTCAGCCTTCAAAAGGAGTAAAATTCTGATACATGCTACAACCAAGGTGAAATCCTTGAAGACATGCTAAGTGAGTTAAGTCAGACACAAAAGAACAAATACTATATGATTCCACTCACATGAAACACCTTGAGTAGTCGAGTGTATGGAGACAGAATGTAGAACAGTGGTTACCAGGGGCTGGGAGAGTGAGAAATGGGCAGTTATTGTTTGAAGGTATACAGTTTCAATGGAGAATGATGAAAAAGTTCTGGAGATAGTGGTGATGGTTGCACAATAATGTGAATGTACTTACTGCCACTGTAGTGTGTAATTTAAAATGATGAAAATGGTCATTTTTATGTTACACATATTTTACCACACACAAAAGAATCCCTCGCTACTCTACAAACTTTTTAACAATACATCATGACTATTTTCCTGGTCAATAAATATAAATCTAATTTGTCCTTTTTTAAAACTACACAATATACCTTAGAAAGGGCATGCTATGCTATGTTTAACTGCTCCCACATTGACAAACATTTGTTGTTATAAATGATGCTGCAGTCAGAATCTTTAAGGTTCTTACAATACATTAAAGTCCCCAAACTGTGATTACTGGGCAAAGGGAATAGATGTTTAGATCTTTCTTTAGGCCAATTTTAATTTTTTTGCTTCATGATATACAACAAAAGGGTAGATGTTCTGCAATAATTAGGTTATAGATTTGGCTGCAAATAACAAAAATCTCAAGTAGCTGTGACTTATACAGGATATAATTTTATGGGCATTCTAGGACCAGTAAGGAAACTACTGCATGAGCTAATGCAAGAATCCAGCCTCTTTTTATCCTCTTATTCCACCATCCATTTTCATGGCCCAAGATGGCTCACTGCCATGTCCACATTCCATTCTGCAGCAGGAGAGAAGGAGAGAAGATGGGCACACCCACTTCCTTTCAGGACTCTACCTAGAAGCTGCCTGTACCACTTCTACTCATAGCCTATTGTCCTAAACTTAGTCACGTAACCCAGACCAGCTAAAAGGGAGACTGGGAAATCATAGTCATTCTGGGTGGCCAGGTGCCCAGTTAGTACCAGGATGGCCAAAGGAGATTGGATAATGAGCAGTTCTACAATAAGATCTTCCAAAAGAATAGTCGACCATGTCAGCAATATTTATAAAATAAACCATTTTCCAATAAATTAAAATGCCATCCTTACCCTGGCTGCTGTGGCTCACTGGACTGAGTGCTGGCATACAAACCGAAAGGTCACTGGTTCGATTCCCAATCACGTGCCTGGGCTGCTGGCCAGGTCCCCAGTTGGGGGCATGCAAGAAGCAACCGATAGATGTATCTCGCACACACCTATGTTTCTCTCCCTCTCTTTCTCCCTTTTATCCCCTCTCTCTAAAAATAAATAAATAAAATCTTTTAAAAATTGTACCTTTAGAAAAATAAAAACTAAAAATAAAATAAAATGCCATCCTTGTGTTTACTAAGGCCCACATATAACTGGATCTGTTTTTAGATGCAAATCTGTTATATTAAAATAGCTTTATAATAGTTGTTAGCTGTTCTTATTGTATTAATTTGTTGTTGTTGATATATTAGTATCTTACCTTTTGTTAACTGGTTTAAGCTATTTGATTTACATTGTTTTTACAGATCAAGTTAAATACAGTTAAACTTATTTTGTAAGAACTAGTTTGTTCTGGCACTTGGGTATTGTAATTTGAGGCAGAGATCATTTTCTTCATTCCAACATTCAATGTTAACCAGCATCTCTAGCCCTGGCTGGTGTAGCTCAGTGAATTGAGCGTGGGCCTGCGAACCAAAAGGTTGCTGATTCGATTCCCAGTCAGGGCACATGCCCGGGTTGTGGGCCAGATCCCCGGTAGGGGATATGTGAGACACAACCACACATTGATGTTTCTCTCCCTCTCTCCTTCCCATCCCCTCTCTATAAAACTAAAAATAAATTAAACATTTTTTTTAAAAAGAAGTATCTCTACCCATCAGTAACTACAACCAAGAGGTCACACATTTGTTTCGTCGTCATTGCTTTATTGGAAAAGAAAACCTTATTAGAGGGAAAGCCTGACCATAGCAGGAATCTGGTGACAAGGAACAGGATTTCCCAGGCATCCAGAACTCCACCTCATCGTCCATTTAAAGAACGATGGGCGTGAGCAAGTGCCAGGATGCAGGCTGGGGGCGAATGAGTTCCCGAGGTGATGGGAAATTACAGAGGCACTCTCGGCCCTGGCTCTGCCACATTTTCCATCTCAAATGTGTGGCTCCATTAGCTTTTTAACTGGTATCAGTGCCTCTCTGCCATTACCTCCTGCCGCCAGGCTTCACTCACTCTTTCATAGAGGAGATTTGCTCGAGTTTATGCCTTATCCTCCCAAATGTCTTCCTTTGACTTTGTGGGGGGAAAAATGCTATTTGATCAAAAGAAGCTGCACTTGGGATCCCCCCTTCCACCCTGCTAATGAATATCCTCTGCCTTTTTTTAAAACCTACATACAGCGTCTCTTCCATGAAGGCTTTCTTGGTGTCCAGCGCCCTCAACAATAGAAAAGTGAGAAGGCCTCTCAGAGATCTGGAGGGGAGGTTCTCAACCCTGACCTCCTGTGGTCGCGGAGGAACGGATAAGAAACACATCTGCCAGCACTCCTCCCAGATTCCCATCAGTGGATCTGAGCTGGAGCCTTAGCTCCTGCATTCTTCTACTTCCACGGGGGGTTATGAGCAACAGGGTAGGAAACGAGGCCGACCCTTAACTTAGAGATGAGAGCACTGAGGCCGCGTGATGCTAGGAAGAAATTTATGCATTTCTTAGCAGGAAGCAGCTCCTTCCAGGCAGGGACTTTTCCTCCTTGGAAGCTCCCTCCCGCACCTAGAACTCTGCCTACCTAGCATGTGGCAGATTTGTGGAATGAATGAATGCATGAATAAGAGAACCCATGTGGCACCAAATTTAAACTACAAAACTGGGTTCTGGTCCAGCGTGTGACACAGTCAGTCTTCCTTAGGACAGGCTCTGCCCCAAGTCCTTGCCACGCCTCCCAGGCTCTGTAATTGCTCTGCATCTTAGGAGGTCACTATTGGTCGCAGTCTGTCCTGGGTGCCCAGGGACCGGCCCTTGGGCGCACACCTTAGGGAGTGTCCAGGGCCAGGGAACACGTCAGCTGGAGGTCAGGGGCGTGGAGAAAAGTGAAGGCTTTGAGAAGGAAGGCACCGCACTCGCGCATGGGCGGGGAGGGCGGGCTAGTGGCTTGGCCCAGGAGGGTGGGGCGCTCGCACCTGCTCGTCGGCGCCAGCACTCGGAGGACGCGGGGCCAGCGGATCGCTCGGAGGCGCTCAGCACAGGTGAGATGCGCGCAGTGGGCAGGGGCTGGGACGGTGGGGAGGGGCACGGACGGGGAGAGGGCCGAGACCCGGAGGAGGACCGGCACGCGAAGGAGGGCTCCGACCGGGAGGGGACTGGGACGCGGGGAGCTGGGGGAGAGGGGCGGGCTCGGACCAGGCACAGGCGGGAAGAGCTGGAAGGCTCTCGGCTGGGGAAGCTCCCGCCTCGTCCCTCTCCTCTCGCATCGCCTGCGGCCCTGGAATGAATGTGTTGCATCCCGGGCTGGTCGGGCGGCCGGTGCTGCCGCGTGAGAGGAGCTTCAAAGTGTGAAGCCCCTGCCGTCCGTCCCACCCCGAGGAGTAGAGAACCCTCGGGCGGCGACGGCTGTGTCTGGCCCGGAAGCCCCGAAGCTGCTGTCTGTGGGCTGCGCAGGGCGGTGGGCTTAACACCCTCGCTGCCTGTCCCTGTTCGCTCCCATCCACAAAGCCACCGGTCAGACACCGTCCTGCGGCCAGAAAGCCTGGAATCCACTAAGTAAGGCGATTGATTGATGGTCTCCTGAGCCATTGTTCTGCTTCTGCTATTAGGCCGGTGGGTGCGGATCCCAGGAGCCAGGAGGTGAGATTAGCGGCCCTTGGAGAGTTGTGCGTGGGACCTAAAAATAGGGTCAGGTGACCCTGCCTGGGTCTGGAGGAGATGTGACCCAGCCGTAGATGTAAGAAACATTTGTGTTCCAGTGAAGGAACTCTGTGGCTTTATGGAAGAGATCAGTTTTAAGTTTAGCCAGGCGCCTCTTCTCAAAGTCACAGAATGGCCATTTCCTTCACATTCCCGCCGCACCCCCCCGGCACTCGGCCGCGCCATTCCTACCATTGCCCTCCTGTTCCCTGACCGTTTGTCCCCTGCCCCACCCTTCACTCTGCCTGACTCACCGAGTGGCTCAAGAAATTTACCTGTATTTTTACACTCATTTTAGTGGGCAGTATGGTTTAATGTTCATAAGAAACAGATGTGCAATGCCGTGGCGGGGGAGGAGGTGCCGGGGGTGTTGGGGGGAGGATCTCGCTACACTGTGAATGCAGGGCCAGCGCACTGCAGACTGAGTTCTTTGTGGCCCAGCCTTTGTACTTCGTAGGCTTAATAATGACGTGCTTGCCCTCTGTTCCCAGTGTTTCTGGAGCAGATATGGAGTTGATATGACGCTTTATCAAACTCGGCCCCTTGGTTTCACAGGGGAGAGTGCCTGATGGTATCAGTGAGGAGTGATTTCTGGTCGTGTGTTATTTGTTCTGGTGTTTTGGGAGCCAGGCGTGCAATTTCCTTTTTAAGGAGCTCTGGTTTCTTCTCACTTCTTCCATGGGATGTGGAAATGGTACCACCAGTGATTTATCTCTTAGTGATTTTTCCTTATATTCTGCGGGTTCCTCCCTCACCCATCTGGTGGGTGTCAATTGTGACAGAGTAGCTGATACCACTGAATCTCCCCTTCAGCACCAGTTACTCTACCTGGCGTTTTCCCAAAAGTGTCCTTGCTTGTGTCTCTTGCTGAATCTCAGCCAACAGGACTTGGGACAGTCACAGTTTGGCAAGGGCTGGGGAGAAAATGGGTAAAGAGGAAGAAAGACATCTTTCTTATCTCCCCACCACCTTCAAGTTCGCCTCGGCTGCTGTGCTTAATTGGTCAAAGAACAGGTGTTAGCTAGGTTGGCTGTAATCGAAGGTCTATCTCTTTTCCATGAACGCATCTGCTGGTTAAAAGGGAGAGGGGCAGTTTTGCCACCTCTAGAGCCACACCCAGGGCCAAGGTTCCTGTTATTGCAGAACTCTTTATGATTGTGTGTCATCGACTAATGACTGTGTCTGTAGACACAGTTCACTTCGAGACTTTTTCTAGAGACAGGTCATAAAACAAAACCTGGATTATTCACAAGACTGTGCAATAGTGAATGTCAGCGCTGTGATCCCCACACTTAATTTGAACCCAAATTCCCTTTTAACTGCCCTCCAAACCTTTCCTGGGGCTAGAAACAAACAGGGGTGATTTGAATTGTAGTTATTTCTCTTTCTCTTGTCTGTTCTCTTGTGTAAAAATAAAATGGGCCCCAAGGGAGAAGGAAACTCAAAAGATCTGTCAGCTTTATGTGACGAAGAGTTAAACTGAAGGTATCAAAATGCTCTCACATAGCTCCTTTGCAGGATTGAGATGTTATAAGCATTTTCAATACCTCATTGGTATCGAATCGTAAAGGGGCTTTCCAGAGTACAGGCGAATTCCACAGCAGCACTGGGAGGGAAGAGTAATAGCCAAGTTCATAAATAAGGAAATTGATTCTTAGAGATATTGAGTGCACAGCCTGGGTGTATGCATCTGTTAAGTGGTAGCCAGTACTCGAAGCAGAGCTTCTTCCATTATATCACAGCCCCCTCCAGGGTAGTTTTTGTTTGTTTGTTTGTTTGTTTGTTTAATTTGGGGGTGAGGAGTTGTGATTTGTTTAGTGTATTTCATGCCCACCATTGTTCAATGTAGTCACAAAATTATTGTAGAGCTGAGGATAGCCTTAAAGATGACCAAGCCCAGTCTTCTTGTTTTCCAAAGAAGAAAAGTGGATTCAGGGAAAATTCAGAAAGTACCTTATGTTGCTTCCCCCAAATCTGCTTTGCTGAAGATGTACAGCAAAAACCTAGGTTTGCCGATGTTCAGACTACAGCTCTCTCTGGCAGGTGGTCCCTTGGGGATTTCCTAGAAACGTAAGTCAACTGGTTTAGTTTGACTGACTATTGCTTTGGGGGTCTGTGACAGCAGACCACAGCCTCCCCAAATCCGGCACTCAGATGTCTGTAGATCCTTCTACTCTTCCTGTACTCCACGTTCCACAGGGAAACGAGCCTCGTCCGTCTGGCTCATTGTGTTACTCCCAGCACAGGGCCTGGAGTAGCCACTCAGTGAAATGTGTTCAATGTCTATCCAGTAGTTGCTTCCACGGTCCAAAGAACAATAGGAATGTAGGTGTTGAGAAAAGGTAACTTTAGTACTATCTGTAGTATTCATAATGGATAATAATGATCTCGTTCGATTAAAAAATCTAGAAACAGTCCTGACTGGTGTGGTTCAGTGGCTTCAGCGCTGGCCTGCGGCAAACCAGAAGGTCACCAGTTTGATTCCTGGTCAGGGCACATTCCTAAGGTCTGGGCCAGGTTCCTGCTTGGGAGCCTGCGAGAGGCAAACATTCATTGCTTCTCTCACACATTGGTGTTTCTCTTCCTCTCTTTCTCCTTACTTTCCCCTCTCTCCAAAAACATAAACAAACAAACAAACATTTAAATCTAAAGACAAATATGAAGAAACATTAACTATTATTAATTCTAGGTGTTGCATGTTATTGTTTGTAATTCTTTGCACATTGAATTCCTCAAAAGATAGAAGAAATCTATGAAATAAACATTCAAACAAGTGTGAGATGTCATTATGATTCCATTCAGCCGCAGTAACAGACAGCCCTGCCCCAGCAACTTTAGTAAGGCGTTTGTTTTTCTGAAGTAACGAGGTGTCTGGAGCTGAAGAGTCCAGGACTGGGACCACTGCCTCTGTCCCCTGCACCCCTGCCCGCCAAGTGCGGCTTTTGCCTGCACTGGGAGACAGGCACCTCTCCGGTCTTTCTCAGGAGGGCGGAAGGCACGACCCGGCTGACTCTATCCTTTTTTATAATAATAATAATATCTTTCCTGAAAGCCCCACCCAGTCGACTTCTTACATCTCAGTCACATAGCCACTCCTAACTATAAAGGAGCCTGCGAAAGTTGACCGTTTTGTCAGACGCATTGCCAGCACAACAAAGGGGAGGGTCTGTTAATAAGGAAGATGGGAGAGTGGATATTGATTGGGTGGGCAACTAGCAGAGTCTGCCCTAGTACGTTCATAGTCATTGACTCTTGGTCTCTGCATAGGTCGTTGGGTTGTTTATTTATTTATTTTGTTTTTTGGTTTACTGGAAAGTATGATATGCAGTGGATCTAGAGGAACTTTTTTAAATTATAGATCTGAATCCCACCCCAAGAAATGCTGACTCTCTAGGTCTGGAATGGGTCTATCAATCTTGAATAATAAACTGGCACTCTGGGTGATTGAAATATGAGTGATTGCAGGAGCCCGATTTTCAAAACACTGACTTAGGGGTCCTGTAGCAGGGGCTCCTCATTTCATTTCCAACAACTGTCTGTATGACTCCTCTTAAGGTATTACTTTTTACATTTTCTCTTTTGGTCAACATTAACAAACATACAGCCTTAGAAGTAGTAAGTCCTCAAGTCTTTATGGAATCTATGTTGAGCTGCCCCCTAGAGGCAACTACGTGTAATGCTTTAGACTTTGTTTTTCTCCTGTTTTCCACCGTATTTCCAAACAACGTGTTACTGGCTATTTCTTTTTCTTTTTCCAGCTCTAGATAATATCTGTTGACTTCTTACCTTAGAGGCTGAGGATTTCTCTTCTTTATACCCCATTATTTTATCTCATATTCACTTCCATTTCTTGCAAGGTCCCAATATATTTTATTTTTTGATATAGCAATGTTTATTTACTGTTTACATTATTATAACTTTAAAAATATTATTCACAACTGTGCCATATGATAAGCCATGATTTTTACACTTCCTTTCACGTACTACCTTCTTCTGAGCCCTGAAGTTAGTGATTGTTTCATCTTCTTCAGCTGCTTAGATTTTTGAGTACTCATTACCAGCTCTTGTTCAAACTTTGTCAGGATGGTAAAATTCCTCTCAGTGGAGTTAAAACTGGAGTAGCCAGTTTGATTTCCTTCTCTCTTGGAAACATCCCTGAGCGACCCCCATTCTCTGGGACTGACTATTCTTCTCCGAGTCCTTCGCGATGCCCTGAGCTCCCTCTCCACCACCCTGTGAAATGCACTGGATTCCTGTTTGGGCTTCTATGCCTCCTCATTCCTTGGTTTTGCTGAGCACAGCTTCCTGAGAAAGGCACGTGGAGTCCGAGGCAAGTTTGTCC